TTTCGATGTTGTACGAGTTCATCTACAAACAGTCAATGGGGATGTCAGTATGTTAGCTATAGTTGTTCCAAGAATTTGTGACAGCTGCACCAAATGTCTTGATTAAGCAGGTTATTCTGTGGACTGTTCGCAATTTCAACCTCTCCCTGACTTCTCGAGTGATGTAAGTTTTCTGACTGCCACAATCAAATACTATACGTGCTTGTAGACTGGTTCCAAATATTTCTGGGTTGAAGACTGTAGTTCTTGCAGTTGGTAGCAGAATTGGCGTTGATGAATTTACATACATAGCTAATGATGTTTGACCAAAGTTAGTTTGACTGTTTGACGAAAATCTTGAAGATGATTGACTTTTCTGTGTCTGGTTAGGTTGAGACTGTTGATTAGAGTTCTGGTATCTGGTTTGATTTCTTTGTTGATTCTGATTATAATTCTTACTGGACTGATGACTGCCTTGATTTCTAGAGTAACCTTGTGTTGAATTTTCCTTGACTTGATAAATACTGATATGATGACGATTCTGACAGACTGGACATTTCTTTCCTTGATCGCATTCAAAACTTTTGTGATTTCTTTTAAGGCATACATAACACCTCCCATCCCGATGAAGAATTGCCTTTCTTCCTTCTATACTTGTAACTTTTAGACATCTATTAGGTGGATGAGATTCCCTACAATAGGTGCATCCAATTTTTCCTTGACTGGTGAAGAGAGCTGAAGCTGCTGATTGATACCTTTTAAAACCTGGTGTGTATGATTTTGATGTTGAATCTTTACTTGTTCTGCTTGAAGAACTCGATTCTGTAGCTCGTTCTCGCGCTTCCAATTCAGAACAAAGTAGAACCATCAAATTATCCAGATCCCAGACTTCGTCTTTAATCTTTCGACTAACAATCAAGCGGATTTCCTCAGGCAGTCTGTTCATCAGGACACCTGACAGAATACTCCCATAAGAATTTGGTGATATTCCTAAAGATTTTAAACTTCTTATCTGAGTTTCGACATTATCATATAATTGACGTAGGTCTTTTATATCATCCCCAGTGATTTTTGAATTAAGAAGGATTTCCAAATGCCTGTTAATGATTTTCTGCTTGTTTCCGAATCTTTTCTCTAGAATAGCAACTGCCTCTTCGTAATTGGCAGATGTCAGTGAGAGACCTCTGACAGCTTCCTTGGCTGTTCCTTCCAACAATGAGTTTAGGTAGTTGAATTTGTCTATTGATGCCAAATTGCCATTTGAATTGATAGCTGAATCAAATGCATCCCAGAATGTAATCCATTTGCTTAATTCTCCAGAAAATTTTACAAGATCCAATTTTGGTTCCTTCTTTCTGGTGTTGGAGATTCATGATTTGACAATGTTCTGCTAATATTATCTTCCTCAGTTGGATTAATTGATCGACTCTGTCAAAATCTTGCAGATTTATTCCCGCTTCAAAAACATCGTTTACAGCTGCAATAAGTCTCTTTGACGATGTTCTGTAAACACCTCTTATTCTTTTCATGCGACTTAAATCTTGGGTATGGCTTCTAGGGGTAAGTTGAGGACTTTGCACAGGGTGGGTAGGAGAATCACCTTTACCGTTCATTTTCCCGCGCAAAAAAAATTGATTGTTATTTACCAATAATTATTGACTTGATTTTCTGTTACTAGTCTGATCCGTCTCGCCGTGACCATGTAGGGATTTTGACTTTGATCCCCTGACTGGATGGTTCGTCGAAAGGCTTAAAATTGATCCACTTGATTTATTCGACCGATGATACAAAAATTCTTACATTGACAATGACAACATCCATTATTAACAGGAAAAGTAACTCTCCCAGAAGCGAGTATAAAGAAAAGGTAACTCTGCACGAGTTTAAACATTTCAGACCACAATATTTAAATAATGCGAGCTTTGCATATGACATCTCACCGACACCCTCCCTTCCCCGAAATCTATCTAACACTATCAAACAGTTGATTGATTATCAGTAGGGTTCATAGATGAAAATAAACAATTTGACTCTTTGAAAACTCGGGTCAAAATGACACAATTAACAAATAGTGAATACAACATGGTTTGGCATGATTTTATTCGATTAACATAAACATAAATAACAAAACATATATATAATTTGTAAAGTGTGAAATACGTAGTGAGTTTGTATGATAAGGAAATTTTTTAGAAACAAATGCCAAAGCCCAAAGGGCTACAAAAGGCCAAAATATGAAGAAAGGTGTTATCTACCTATAATATACATAATATTATTCTTATGAAACGTATTATAAATTGGTGTAATAAATGGAAATTTATGAAGAATGATAAATCTTAATTCGATTTAATACAAACTACTTAAATATTGATCTTACATATCGTTCAAACTCTGAAGAGATAGAATAGAATCTTTAATGCGAGATGATACGGAGATTTTGTCCAGTAAAGAGAAGTTTAGATATAAGGTATCGACACCTGTTTTGACCGATTTTCAGATGCTCGATGTTTTCCTGAAAAAACTTCAAATTTAACAAATTTAGGCTAAAAACAATCTGCCAATGGATTCAATTTACTTGAGGAATGTCCGGTATACAGTATTTGATTGTCATTGCTGATATGGGCAAGCCGTGGAAGACTCTGGGTGAGCCAGCTTTGCGCTATCTTTTCTCCAACAGGAAGCACAAATATGCTGTAAATATTTATTTGCACCCATGGCACCCACCTTGCACATATGAGATTTATTATACCTTTGTATACATTTGTTCCTTTGATAATGTGAACAATAAAATACAGTCTTGTCCTTTTGTTTTTCAATAGATTTGTTCCTGGCGAACATACATGATCAAAAGAGGTAATTCAAATTCACTAAAATCATCACACCAGGACTTAGTCCCGTTTTCTATTTGTCTGGTTACACGAGAATAACACTTTTTGATGCCAGTCCACTCATTGTAATAGGCAATCTTTTTCTATAATCTTAATCTACCATCTTTTTCGATCATTTAAGTTGAGCTTACCAAGCGCTTCGGGCTTCTGTTTTCGGTGTCTTGAACTGGAACTTTGTTTTTCCACTTCTATTTGTCGCCTGATGTCGTCTTTTCTACACTGCAGAACTGCAGTTTTTTGGATCTTTTCAAAACCTCCAGTTCCTTCCTGAGTTGCTGGAATTCCTCATCGTCTGTATGGCGCTGTATTTGGTTCAAAATAGGATCCAGATCTGATTGTATAATTCTTAAAATCGCGTGGTCATGTCTTAGGTAGAAATGACTAATCTTATAAAATTAAAGTATTTTTACGTGTTTTATCTCCTATCTTATTTACCTTTTTCAATTTGAGTCTTCTAGAACCTAATTTTAACCGTAGACTTTATAGAACGCAGAACGCGAATTTAACCTATGGAACTTCACTACTGGATCTTGTTCGCTGAATCGTAATCTTTCGACTTTCTTCACTGGATCGTGTTCGCTGAATTGTGATCTTTAGAACTTCTCCACTGGATCGTATTCGCTGAATCGTAATCTTTCGACTTTCTTCATTGGATCGTAACCTTGAATATTACGGAAAGTAAATTAGATCACGTGACATTTTCTGCATATCATTATTATCGTATTCGTCATTGATTTCATAAATTGTAATTCTAAACAGTATCTAAAATTTGAATAGAACAAAATACACATGAAATACACGGAGTTATCCTTTTTGGGGGAAATTTAAGTTTTTGGGGTAGGATTATAGTTTTTGGGGTAATTCATTTCCGGTGGGCTCGTTTTGCCTCATTGCTCAACATGCCGCATCGTGCCCAATTGCACAAAACATGACTTGTTAAACGAAACTAAAGGTTTCAAATAAAATCTGGAATGGCCATTTGTTTCACATGAAACGAAATATTTTAATATGTAGATTTTGCAATTAATCACCCAATCTTCTGTTTTGATCTAACAGCTCATCAAGAAGATCTTTTCAAAACAGGGGTGAATATAAATATCCATATTGAACAAAACACAAGGAGATGTTACCGGTTATTGTTTATTATTGGAAGAAGCAAAACATTTAATTAAAATATCCGACAGACGGATGATTCGTATAGAATAATCATTTAAATTACTTTCTTAAAAATGAAGCCTTTAGTAAAAAGAATAATAGAAGCTATCGAAACGGAATCACCAACTACAATAACTTACAATGGTAAAAGGATTAAAATATCTAAAAACATTATTGATAAATATAAACATTGTAAAGTCCATGATGATATAGATTTGGAAAGAATTGACAAGAGTGCAAAGGAAGGTGGATTTTTACCTTTCCTATCTTTGATATTTGCTGGTCTGGCGGCGGCAGGTGCCTCAGCTGGTGGGGCGGCTGGGATAACACAAGCCATCAACGCCAAGAAAGCAGCTGATGCTGAAAAAAGTGAAAAACGTAGACATAATATGGAAATGGAAAAGATAGCACAAGGTTCGGGAGTAGCAGATATATTAGGGGCAGTTAAAGAATTTGGAAATCGATTTAGTGAAGAAAAAACAAACGTTCTGGAGACGAAATCTTTCTTTCAAAGTATAAAGGAGAAGGAGTGATTTTTGGAACAAAAATATAAAATAAAAAATGGGCAGAAAATTTAATCATTGAGAAATATTTCCTAGTAACCCTATGCTTATGTGTATTTGTGGAAACTCAGGTTCTGGGAAAACATATTTGACCTTTAACATGTTGACAACACCAAAACTTTTAGATTTCGATTCATTATACATCTACACAACTACACCAGAGCAATCATATTATCAATTCCTGAAAGCTTTAGAATATTTACTAAAGAAAGATGTTTAAGACATATTTAAATATTATGAAGACAACGATGAGATAAAAATAAAAGATATCTTAGATACATATATCAAAGAAAAGAATCCATCTTTCAATCCAACGGACATAAAAGTTTTTCTTACGAAAAATGTTAATGATTTAGATTTGTCTAAAATTGATAGCGAGCGAAAGAACTTAATAGACGACTGTGTAGCACAAAGAAATCAAGCTGTTCAACAAGAATTCTTCACAAAGGGAAGATATCACTGTACGGTATGGATGCAATGTTCATTAGAAAAAATGCAAATTGTTTTTTATTATTCGAATTGAACGACAAAGATTTATCTCAAATTATTCAGTCAATTAATTACGGAATGGATAGAGATACATTTAAAAAGGATTGTAAAGCACAATGGAGAAACCCAGATGATCATGGATATATATTCGTTAATACTAGAAAACCTGCGGGTGAAAAAGTTATGACAGATATATGTTAATTTTATTTCTTTAAAAATGGGTGATTGGAATAATCTTATAAAAAGAAACAGACAATATATCAAAACTAAGAATAAAATAAAGACTCAAGATGAAAATAACAAATTACAACAATTTGGATTAACAGAAAATCTACAAACTCTATTTCAACCAATATTGAAAAGTCAAGAAGATATTATAAAGAGACTCGCGCCTTCACCTCATAAAAATCACCCGGAACCGATTGAATATGGTGGTTTTATAATTAGGACATTTCTACATATGATAAGAAAGACGGGGCCCGAAACAAGAAGATTAAAAGAAGTTGATCTATATATAAAAGCTATTAATCAAGATGATGAATATGCTGAAGACAATTCAATCATACAAGAAATAGACAATCCAATCACACAACAAATAGACGAATTGGAAGAGGAGATAGCTATATTATATTGTCTGTCTGAACGATGACCTTCTTTCATGGCTGCTAATAATATTTCTAATCTGACAAGCCATTCTTAATTCTTATCGG